ATTTGAGTGGTGCCCCAAGATTCTTTCTCAAAGTAAAAAATGCTCCTGGATTTATCCACAATTTTTGATACCTAATATGTTACGTACTTTTTTTTTTATTAATATTTATCCGTAGCCAGTTTTAGATGTCTGAGGATAAATGCAAATCACGAGCAAGCAATGATCATTTGGCCATTCACTCTAAAATATATTCTTGCTTCAGTTTTTTTCTTTTTTACTCTAGAGCAGGGGTCCTCAAACTTTTTAAACAGGGGGCCAGTTCACTGTCCCTCAGACCGTTGGAGGGCCGTTGGAGAGTGTGGCCGCACATTCCACACATGCGCATTGTGGGCCCTGGTTGACTGCTAAGCAGGACAGGCAGCGGAGACAAAAACACCCAGCGGGCCAGATAAATGTCCTCGGTGGGCCATATGTGGCCCGTGGGCCGTAGTTTGAGGACGCCAGCTCTAGAGTATTGAATATAAATATGTTGCTTATTTTCAGAGTGAACCTACCACTTGGGTTCTTCCACATTGCTGCCTTTAATTAGATTTTCTAATCAATCATCTCTGTGTATTGTTCCATGTTTGGAAGTCTGTATGAAGAAAATGTCTGCTTACTTATAAGAATTTGGTGAAAAGTTTAATTTTGGGATGTTCATCCATCTGGCCTTGTCAACCGCAGAACTATAGAAGGATAAGTTGGTGGTAAGGAGAGCACCATCTGTTTCTGAGAATTAGTTGATCTCTGCATGATGAGCAGGAAGTTGATTGCACAACTGAAAAGCCAAGATGGTGAAAGGAAAAGTGAAGAGTTCATTGGGTCTATGTCATTCGTGAGCACGATTTTCACAAGATGGATCCATACCATAATCGACGAGCAAAAGGTTTACATTATTCAGCAAGTCGCTTGGAAGAAATTACTTCCTTCATATTTGCCTTTTCTTTCTTCCTCTTTGTGGCAACAAATTGTTAAAAGGAATGACAGTCTTTCTGACTAAACATATGTTTCTTTGAATGACATAACTTGTTTGTCCACTAGCACTGAATCAATCAGGCAATCTACAACGGGGCTAGTTGGCTCATCTTGTCATGATATCATATCAGTGATCCAAAGTCATGAACTTTACTATTCTACAGTCAAGTTAGTGTTACACAGAGACAGACTTCATTCCATAACCAGAATGCCACCTTTATCCTTAGCTGAGTAGCTGAGAGATGCCATCGGGGGAACAGAGAATGATGCAACACATCACATTTATTCAACAAAAGTACTTCTCAGTTCATGCCCTAGTGATGGTGACCTGGTTGAATTGTGACCATGAAGGGCAGCACATTTACAAATATCAGAGAGAATGATTTGGTCACTGGATGAAACTGGGAGCAATTGGAAGAATCAGCGATAAGGGAAATGAGTTCAACTGAACTCTTTTCTCTGACCATTTGGCATTATCTTCTGTGGCAGCATTTGAAGCTGATGACCACTGCCTCTTTGAATTCTCCCTACTATCTATGACTCCGTTTCTTTTTTCCTTGGCATCCTCTTCTCCTATACCCAATTCCCAGGCTCTCTGTTCTCTTTTAACTACTTCAGTGAACTAATCTTCTGTCATTGATTTAAACATAACCTATATTGTGACGGATATAAATTTATATTTTTGGTCCTGCCTTTTGCAAGAACTACACCCTCATAATTTCACATTCTGCAAGACATTTTCATGTAAATACCATATAGTCACTTCAAAGTAAATATATTTCAAAATGAATCATCTTCCTTCCTAAGCCAGGCCCTGTTCCGAGATTTGCATGGTACCAACATTCTCTGAGTCAACAGAACTCTTTATCAGGGGTTCTTGCTAATTCACCCCAGGGATTTCTTTTATCTACTCAGCCACCTCCCTGGAATTCATTTTTTTTAAAAAATATTTTCACGAAAAGATTCATTTAAGTAGTAGTTTTCCCATTTTTATTAAGCAAAGGCATTTGGGCCATTATTCAGGATTCCTAAATAAACCAATTACTATTGCACTGAATTCCAGCCATAAGCAGAGATAGTTGATGTTTATCTTGTGTCACCAGCATACATATAATATGTAGAACAAATGGGAAGGAATTAAGTGCTGTTACTGTTTAAAAGCAACTTGACTATTAAAAAATAATCAAACCTAATAAGTTTCATATTGATTTATCTCAAGTCACTTTATTTGTATGCCTAACTTTTTTCACAACAACTTGCATCCAGAGGAAGAGCCACAAAATTGAATTAATGTTTACTCACCCATACATTTCAATGGTTTGCTGGTGTTGACAGATGGGGAAATATGCACCCTGGGTGGCCTCTCTGAAGTTTGGCAGTAGATGTGCATGATCTCATGCAACAAAGACAGAACATTCCTCAGTTCTCTTGGCAGAATGTGTATAAAAGGAGTATAAAAGGAGGTTAAACTTCTAAACAATATATTTTTTTCTAAAAATCTTCCATAAGCATTTGATAAAGAAATGGCACTCCCAAATGAAACCTGCCGTGAACTTAAAGCATACATTACTGTCAAATACAATATTCTAGACTCTAGGAGTTTGACACAAACCATGAAATATATGGATTTGAATAAACATGAATAAAAGTTAATGGATCATTTCTTAAAGTAAACCAAACCCAAATTCTGATATAATTTTTCCAGAAAACACTCATTCACTTTTACCGCCTTGTTCTCTTAATAATCTAGCATTGAAGATCTTGACAAATATGGGTATTTTGGTCCCAATGATCAGCTTGGAAATAGTCCTTTTTAATGGAAGCTGTATATTCAAGGACATGGTTGACATCCCACATAATTACTTAGTTTAATTTGAAGTAGAGGAAACACTGACGTCAACCTTGGACCAGTACCCAAACTAGAGCACGTTCAAATTATTAAAGAGCTTTGATCCTTTCCCTGTCTCCATCTTCATTGAACTTCATTATATGGAAGCCAGAATACCAAGGATGGAAAAGAGGTTTCAACTTGCATTCCAATGCAAATAGAATAGTGGCTGCCTGGAGAGCCACGCAGAGAAGGATTCTGAGCTCAAGTCAGTAGAAACGAGGATTGTGATTGATTAGCAATGTCTGCCATGGAAACGTAGTGGTGAAAACAACCAGAGGACAAAGTTCTGGAACCTAAAGATGTGTAACCCAGAGAAAAGAAATCTTGGTTATCTTTTCCAAATACTCGAAAGACAGACATATAAAAAAGGAATCAGCTTATTCTAAGGCACCAAGTTAATACCAGTAAGTGAAATCAAAAACTCCATAAAGCAAAGAACTTTTATTTTTATTTTGCTTATTATTTTTTTCTTTTTTATTTAGAATTCTTTCCTAAACACCACATCTGCAACTGCAAGAACTTTTTTTTTTTTTTTGAGACAGAGTCTCACTTTGTTGCCCAGGCTAAAGTGAGTGCCGTGGCGGCAGCCCAGCTCACAGCAACCTCAAACTCCTGGGCTCAAGCGATCCTTCTGCCTCAGCCCCCCAAGTAGCTGGGACTACAGGCATGCACCACCATGCCTGGCTAATTTTTTCTCTCTATATATTAGTTGGCCAATTAATTTCTTTCTATTTACTGTTGCTCAGGCTGGTTTCAAACTCCTGAGCTCAAAAGATCCTCCCGCATCAGCCTCCCAGAGTGCTAGGATTACAGGCGTGAGCCACCACGCCCGGCCAAGAACTTTTAAATAATTAGAAAAGTTCTAAATGGAACATATTCCCTTGAGAGGTAGAGTAACTCCCAACACTTAGATGTGCTCAAGCAGGAGCAGTGGATATTTTAAAAAGGACTACGACAGGAGTGAGGAGTTAGGATAAATGATTTCTTAGGAATCTCACCGAATGCTATCAAACTGCCAACAGTAAGAAACATTACTTTCTATAGTAGGGTCACTTGTCTTATAATAAACATACAAAAATACCCAACTATTTCAGATAAGTTGGGTATTTAGTACTTCCACTGAACTAGTACTTCCACTAAATATCCACAGATATTTAGTACTTCCACTGAAATCCCATCCCAATATGAGGCCATGTCTGCATCCTGCCATATATTTTAAGATACATCTTTTACTAAAATTTAAAAAAAAAATACATTTGAAATTGAACATGTCTTAAAATCTCAAAATTCAGGATTCTAATGTACCAAAGTTGGATACACTTGAACTAACAGACCTTGCCCAAATGAAGCTTGTCAAAAGTATTTGTGCCATAGATTTGAAACCAGTTGGTTGCCCCAGGAAGGTTAGGGGTAGGATCTGTTATTGTCCCATCAGCAATCAGCGTCTTTGCCACGGGAGTGAAGGGGATGGAGAGAAAATCGCACAAGACAGAGACGAAAGCTGTGTAGTCGGAAAGAAAGAAGCCTTCTTGATTATGCTGCGGACTTTCTGAAGTCTTTAATTCTCCCCCTAGCCCATCTCCAGACTGGCATGTGGGACGTGCTGCAGATGGATGGTGGTGCCCATCAGGAGAAGCACGCACATATATCTTGTGGGTTGATTTTTTTATTTGCCAGCTGAAGAGGAGCAGGGAGATTTATTTGGAAGGATGGTAATGAAGGTGGGGAGGCACTAGTTAGGCTGCAGCTTCTGTTCCAAATATGTTATTCTCACTTTTTTCTCAGCTTGGTGCTGACTTGCTCTCTTTATTTCTACTTATTTTTCCTTAAAGGGGAGACTGTTTTGGTATAATAAGCCAGTGGCTTTGGAGAGCACGGTAGTGAAGATGTGCGAACATAGTAAGAGAATTCCTGTGTGTGGTGTTTGCTCAGATATTTCAGGTGTTTTAACTATGCTCTACATATATGTTGTGTGTGCACGCACAAACACACACACGTTTACTTATACACAATTAGATGCTATTTGAAATAACTGTTTTCTTCATCCCAAGATAAAATTTCATGCTCTTCTTTTTTGTTCTCTTTTACTCTACCTTATGAGAACGAAGTTAATTTACTACAACAATAACAAAAATATCACTTTCTTCCTTCATAGCAATGCTACAAGGAAATGCGTTGATATTGCTGGACCTTACAAAGAACAAGAAAACCACCCTGATCCTAACCAAAGATGGAATTGTTCACTAAAAGGAAGGAGCAAATTGGTATATTCCTGGTTTCCAAAATGCCCTTTCATGCCAGGGAAACAGCGTGATCTTTGGAGGACTGTTAACAACCAGGACCATGAGCAAGAATGACTCTACGGCAACAACTAAGCACCTACTGGAGCTGAAATCTCACACTAGACCCCGTCCAATCCCAATTTTGCTGTTTATCATGTGGCATTGGTTATGTTGTTACTTATCCTGCCTTAATTTCCTTATCTGAATACGGGGATAATAAATCCTAACTTCACATAGTTTGGGAAATATTAATTAACATAATTATAAACCACACCATGCAACCAATGTTTAATTATTGACTATTACTGATTTTCAATGTAAGCATTGGGTAAAAGGGTCAAATGGATAAGGACGTCCAAATGCATTCCGAATGCTTAAAATTAATTGTAGATGGTCAAAATGTGGCAGACCAAATTCTTGATTATTCTTGGTTATTCACTCTCTGATTTACCCTTTAGATTTGCTTTCTTTCTGCCAAGGCTTGTTTTTTATTTTCTTATTTCTGCATTAGCATGTTATCAAAATATAAGATCAGGGATTTTGAAATATAAAATATTCTTATTTATTAGTTGTGTTTGTAAAGCTTGAGTTGCAAGAGCTAAAATTAAAATTTAATTATCTATGGATTTTAACTTCATGAGAACATACCATTTTGTGTGTATATTAAATTGAAGTTTTATATATTGTGGTACAAGAAGCTCCATGACCAAAGATAGGAATGTACAAAATTTTCTTTTTTGGGCAGTTTAAATAACAATATAAAACAATGTTATATTATACATCATGGTTTAGGTGCCCAGGATAGTCCACAAAACCTATTCAATTCATATCTTACTTTCTCTAGAAAAAGAATAAAAGTTTAGAAATAAAGTATTACATATAATAGCATTTCTATGAGAAAAAAAAAGTGAGTTTAGAGATGGGGCAATAGAAATAGATCTTCCAGCTTCCCTGCTACCATTTTCATTCTAAACAAGTAGTGGTGGCTTTTGTAGCTTGTCCTAGTGCCATAGCAAGAGGAGATTTAAGGCTGGAATCCAGTCAGTGGGGAGAGGGAAATAGTGATTACAGGAAAATATGGGTGTAAACAGCTGTAGCTGTATGGTTTTGTTCCAAGCTGTCACCCATTTCTATTTCTTATTATCCCCAGAGATTACTCTGGCAATAATAATAATAATAGCAATAATAATAATTATCATTTATTGAGATCTTGTATTAGATGCACAGTGTTAAGTGATTTTAACATGCAGTCATCCTTTTAATAACCCTGAGAGGAAAGTATTATTATTATAATTTTTATAGATGAGAAAATTGAGGCTTAGAGAGATTAACAAATGTTGCCAAGATCACACGTACAGTGCGTGTCAGGGCCACCTGAAATAGCCACCACAGCTGCCCAAACTGCCAGCCAGGGGAAGCATCCGGCTCTGGTTGTGATTTGTATGGTTTTCACATGTTGTCATAATTAAAATCTTTGCCAACACCTAAAAATAGGAGATTGCATGTAAACATTTCCAGTTTCTCTTAAAAAGTAGCTGGTAAGTAACTGGGCCTGTTTTCCATCAGTAAAACCAGGGGAAGCTGAGCTACTGACTTCAGAGAGAATGGGTGCTCGCCAAGGCTTTGGTTTTTGTTTCTCCCCCCCCCCCCTTACATCCTTGCTTCGCTAACTTTATAAATGAAGTAAAATGTGCATATAGGAAGGTGCACACTTCAAGAAAAATACAGCTCATTGAATTCTCACAAATGGCACATACATGTATCCATAACCTGGATCAGAAATAGAACATTACATCCCCTCCCCAGGAGATCTTTTGTGTTCTCTTGCAGTCACTATGACCTCATCCCAAACAACCAGAGGTTAGGTCTGCCTATTTCTAACTTAATAACTATATTATTTCTAATAACTAGTTATTTTTAATAACTAAATTATTTCTAACTTAATAACCTATTTCTAACTTAATAAACATAATAATTTATTCACATGTATTTTTGTGCCTTGGTAGCTTTTACTCAACATCGTATTTCTGAGATTCTTCCACGTTATTGAGTGTTGTGGTAGCCATAGTTAGCTATTTTTCATTGTTGCATTCTATTCCTACGATTACAGCTCCTACATAGCCCTGATCTCCAATTTATATCTCACCAGCTCCACAAGACTACAGAGGGTCGGCTTCCCTTCTCACGCTCCTTAGATGCCAATTTCTGCTTGGATGCTTGGTTTAGTGGTTCTGCAGTGTATAAAAAAAGCAGAAATGCCTCAAAAGGGAAGAGTGGTGGAGCATGCAAAGCATTTGTTTCTTCTCTCTAATGTCTTGACCCCTCAACGTGCAGCTGCACTGTTTGATCTCTGAGGTATTTGGACAGATGGTCTTATATTTTATTTGGTGTTTCTAGTTGTTTTTTGGTAAAAGGATTATTCTGATAAAATCTACTGCGTTGTAGCAGGAAGAAGAAGGAGAAAGACCCACTCATTATTGTCATCTATTTGGACCATCAAGTGTCACTTGGACTGCCATCTCACAATGCTTCTGGCCAAGGTCTCTCTCAACCAGCCAGATACAAACAAATTCTCACTGATGTACATCTTTCTCTTCTGTAGACTCTTTAGGGGTTTTCTAAGTATTTGAGTGATTAGCATGCATGAGAATATATCCTAGAGATAGGAGGGCCTCTCTTAGCTCTCCTTACTCTTTTCTTTACCCTCAAATACTTTCTAAGAGAAGTGCAGTCTATCCACATGATAGAAAACTAATATTGTGAAACAAAACTATTGTTCATGGAAATATTTTTTCTCTGTGGCTATATTATGTTCGTGTTTCTACAGTGACAAAAATTAAAGTGGGGAAATTTTCAGTATTACACATGTTTCAAAATATTTGGCTATTTTGAGGCCATTAAGTGAATGAGTGAATGAAAAACTGATAGTTTGCCGGAGCTTATTTACTTTTGTATCAATTGAATATTTGTTCTGGTTTAATTCCCTTCTTTAAGCTTACTTCAAATCAAATTATTTTAATATTGTTTTGCTACCTGTACAATTAAGATTGTTTCAAATATCCTTACTCACACATCTTGATCATTTTTGTTTTTGTGATTTTGCTCACATAATTTTTTTTTAGCCAGATAAGCTTTCTCATTCCTATTTTCAATTCATTCAATTCAAGATCCTTACTATCATAAAGACTTAACATTTGTCTCCTCCAAGAAATTTTCCTTAACTATTTCCTTAACAAATCATATCTGCTTACCTTCTAGGCATACAGAAAACTTTTAAAAAATCTTACATTAAATAACTATTTTTTCACTTTTTATTTATTTTTTATTTTTTAATTCTAATTTTTTTTTCAGAATATTATGGGGGTACAAATGTTTTGGTTACATGGATTGCGTTTGTACTGCTTGAGTGTCGAAGTTATAATTGTGGTCATCACCCATATAGGTACATTGTACCCATTAGGTGTGATTGCACCCATCTTCTTCTATCTCCCACGTGTATAATTTCTGTTGAGTTTTACTTCCATCTGTGCACATGAGTGCTATTTGGTTAGTTCCACTTTAATAGTGAGTACATGTGGTATTTATTTTTCCATTCTTGTGATACTTCACTTAGGAGGATGCTCTCCAGTTCCATCCAGATTATTGCAAAAGGTATTAATTAATTTTTTATGGCTGAGTAGTACTCCATGGTACATATACCACATTTTATTAAACCACTCATGAACTGATGGGCACTTGGGTTGATTCCACATCTTTGCAACTGTGAATTGTGCTACAATAAACATTCCGGTTCAAGTGTTTTATTTTATAAAAAGGCCTTTATGCCCCTTTGGGTAAATACCTAGTGATGGGATTGAGGAATCAAATGGTAGGTCTACTTTTAGTTCTCTGAGGAATTTCCATGCTATATTTCTTAGAGGTTGCACTAGTTTGCAGCCCCAGCAACAGGGTAAAAGTGTTCCTCTCTTTCCACATCCACACCAGCATCAATAGATCTTTTGGGACTTTTTGATAAAAGTCATTCTCACTGGGGTTAGGTGACATCTCATTGTGGTTTTGATTTGCATTTCTCTGATGATTAGTGATGTTGAGCATTTTCTTCATACATTTGTTGGCCTTCTGTCTTCTTTTGAAAAGCTTCTATTCATGTTTTTTGCCTACTTTTTAATGGAGTTATTTGATATTTTTCTTGCTGATTTGCTTGAGTTCTTTGTAGATTCTGGTTATTAGCACTTTATCGGATGTATAGCATGCAAATATTTTCTCCCATCCTGTAGGGTGTCTATCTGCACTCTTGATTGTTTACTTGACTGTGCAGAAACTTTTTAATGTAGTCAAGAGTGACAGACGGACAGCCATTTTTTTCACTTTTACTTACTCTTCAGATTCAAATGATTTCATCTTCTATTTACTAAAAAAAGTTCTGCTCATATTACTTTCAATACAGTAATGTTCAAAAATGAAAGATTCTATATTAAATCCTTATTGAGAAGTAAATGAGTAAATTAATCAGGCTCTAAAAATCATAAAGTGATCTTACTATGTGTTCTCTTACCCTGCTCAGTGAGTGATGTGAATAGTTTACAACAGCTAAGTATGAATAAAGAACTAGTCCTTGCTCTTGCATACTATTCTGGGAAAGTATTTTTTCCAACTTGGTTTTCATGTTTCTTTCATTCAAATGGATTATTTCCACATTGAGAGAGGTATGAAAACTAATTTCTGTTAGGTAGTTTGGAATGAAATATAAATGCCTTGAAAAATACATTAAACAGCGCAGACTAATTTCAAACCGAAAAATAGGTTAACTATGAAACAATTCAAGCCTAGTAAATAATCATTATTTGATTTCATAATAGGAGCTTGGGCTTCACTTGCAATTTGTACGGTCTTACAATCCACCCTACAAGGCAGCAAATTAACTTTTAAACTTAACATTAAACACACTCTATGTTTCCCCTTTACTTGCTTCAGTAATTTGTTCTGACTAGTGGGTGCAGTTTCGTCATTTCTTAATATAAGGACTTTTTAATGCACAGATATGTCACATTGTGGCAAGGACTGCTTAAAGTCACAGTGTGCTAATGTATTGCCTCATTGCATCCCCTGATCATGAATATGAAGCTGAGCACTATAAACTAAACTCAACGTACTAATAAGTGACTAGTACAGCAGCAAGGTGATTCCCTCATAAATGAGCTGGTGTGTTTAGAAATGGAAGAGTGCTTACCAGTTC